GGGGAGGGAGAGGGGGGCGCCGGCGGCGGCAGCAGCTACTATAATACTGGAGTGCTGGCGCCGACCCGGCCGAGCACCGGGGAGAGGCTCGGTGCTGATTTTCCCGGGAAGAAGCAAGGAAAGTAGGCGCGCGGGGTGCAGCCCGGTCGACGCCAGCGCCGCTCCAAATCGGGAGTGTGCGGGAGAATTAGGGGCAATTCAAGGGCAGAAGAGGCAGCGACTCTCCCCAGACCCTCCTTGTTTGTGCTCTTTGGAAAAATAACAGGACTCAGAGCTGCTGCTCCTTTTCGTGCATCCCTTTCTCTTGGTCCCTCCCTCCGTCCCTCCCCACCCTCTGTTTGGTCGATGGTGTGTGTGGGTTCTTCAGAAGGGCTTCCCTTACATTGTATTTCTTGTGTTGATCAATCTTTCGCTGCCGTTGTGGTTGTTTAAAAAAAATGTACCAAAGCTTTGCAAACTCCGGGGAAGAGGAGGTGAATAAAATCTTCCCTTCCCCATAAATTTGTATCTCAGCTGCTAACACAACAGTGCTACTTGAAGACATATGTTGTCCATACCTTGAGCCGGTTACATGTGTGGGACTACAACTCCCAGAATTCCGGGTGGAGCAGCTGTCCTCAGAATTCTGGGATTTGTAGTGCCCCACAGATCTGGCAGGCACCAGGCTGTGAAGCCTGCCTTAAAGAGTGCTTAGAAATATGATGGTAATACCACATGTATATCTTCTGTGATACTAGTGAGACAGATTCTGATACTGAAAATATTTCAGGGGTTCTCAGATTTCTTTTTTAAAGTAACCTGTAAGTGTGTAAGCCGTCCTTCATCCATTATATCAGCAGTGTGCATGATTCTCCACACTTGCCCTTTCATTCTAACAAAGTGTGTTACACTTACTACTAGTTACTACCTCCATGGCTGGGTGAAGGTAAACCTGTGTCTCATTGTTCCTAATTCAGATCTTCCCAAGATGGCACTTTCTACACATTTTGTTCAGTTCAGTCCCTTCTAATTCTTTGTGGCCCCACAGGCAACAGTTTGCCAGACTTACCTGATAGCCACTGATTTTTTGGATTCTTGTAAGCTCCTGCTTGTGTATCGGTGATCTGATCATCTTGTCAAATTGATTTTTCCAATGTAAGCTTCATTACTAGTAGGGTTTTTTATTATTTTTATTTGTTTGTTTGTTTGTATGTGTGTGGGATTTATTCTTCATCTTTTGTTCAGGAGCTGTTTAATGCCCAAAGATAGATGCCCTCCAGGGACCAATATGCATGAGAGATTTCCAAGAAAGAGGAGATAAAAGCCAGTATGATCATCACAAGCGTTATTAAAAGTAAATACTTACAGGAGTAAACACGCAACGCTTCCTGTGATGGACAACAGGTACGTATGCTGTGTTCTGCCATGGCACATCCATGCTAAGGGGCCAGTGTAAGTTTTTATAACCATATGCAAAACAAAATGTGTGAGAAACTAATTTATCAGTGAAATGCCCTTCCTGTGAACTCCTCAGTATCTCTGCACCTGGCATTCCTTCAGTGTGCATTCCCAGATACAGTCTGTGCCATGCTGTACATCTTACTATTTTTTATACTGAAAGGTTTGTGCAGTGCTTAAACATGGTGTTAGTTCGGTTCAGGGTATATAGGAGCTTAAGGCTCCCTCCCTCTTATTTTCTCCTACCACAAGGTAGGTGGAGCTGAGAGAGAGTGACTGGCCCAAAGCCACCCAGTGAGCTTCTGTGGGTGTGGCAGACTAGAACCTGGGTCTCCCTGGTGTCTGTCCAACACCTTAACCACTACACCACATTGGTATCACTGATTCTCATCTACTATTGAACCATTGTTAACCCTGACCCATGACCATACACATCTTCGTTGGCAGTACAATGTTGCAGGCTTTAAAATCCTGTATAAATCTATTAAAATCTTTCTCCAAAGACTCAGATATCCCTGTGGGGTTTGAGCTGAGGAAGATGAAGCCTTTCCTTGCACTCGCTTACATCATGACATTTTTTTAATACTAAGTACCAAACTGGCTTTTACGCTCTCAACTTCAACCTTCAACAAGAGATTCCTTAAATCTTCCTCACTTCCAGCCACAAAGTAGTATCTACAATGTATCTGTGGTTGTGGATATCTCTCCCAGCAATTTAAATTCCAATTTTGGTTTCTTTTAGTCCAGCATTTCTCGTAATGTGTTCTGATATAGATTAAATAGATAGGATGATAGTATTCAACCTTGGCACACTGCTTTCCCAATTTGCTTAATTGCTCTATATTCCATTCTAATTTTGAACTGTGGTGCTGGAGAAGACTCTTGAGAGTCCCCTGGACTGCTAGGAGGTCAAACCAGTCAATCTTAAAGGAAATCAACCCTGATTGCTCATTGGAAGGATCGATAATGAAGCTCAAGCTCAGATACTTTGGTCACCTAATGCGATCTCTTTGGAGAAGACCCTGATGTGGGAAAAGATTAAAGGAAAAGGGAAAAGAAGACGGCAGAGGATGAGATGGTTAGATAGCATCACTGAAGCAATGAGC